GCTTATCGACGATGGAAAGATGCGTGGAATGAATAGAAAGATAGAAAAAATGATCGCTAAGAGTCAACAGGTTTGAGGTGAATCGACAGATCGATAAAAACACTATACTTCAAGTTCAAGAAAAGTTTGAATTAGACTGATCAGATCAATCGACTGACGAGCAGCATCGAGTAATCGCTTTCGTTGCAGGGGTAAGGAAATTAAACCCGATTTACGTATGCTGGCTCGTGGGCGAAAATTTTCACGCGACACACGGGGTCGTCTAGACACGTTTCATATCGAAGTGGCGCTACGTGAAATCGATATTCATTAACGCGAAGCGCTATAAATATAATCGCCGCCGTCGGAAATAAAATTCAAGATCAAACGAAAGCGTAACCCAACACTACGACGTACAGAGGGAGAGATCGAGCTCTAAAAAATAATTGCAATCTCTATACAAATGCACCTAATCAAATAGAAGTACCTAACAGTCGACATTCTACCAACATACTCTACAAGAGACTGCTACTAATATACGTACTAGTAATATACGTACTACTAATATATGTACTACTACTTTATTTACGGAAATGTTATAACTAGGGTGAGAGACGATCATGATGTTGGCACGCGTTCACCTATTGTTGGACACTTGCGAATTCCACAAGTTGCCTTTTAATCTCTATATCGATCAGTGAATTTACAAACATGCCGCTCCGTTCTTTCAAAGCATGTACATATTACCATATGTCGGAATACATTGAGCAATTTTATTATGACATTAATGTTTGATAATCGGTACTGATCGATTTATCATAATTGCATTTCTTAATCAGAGTACACTGCGTCTCTTAATCATCGGAACTATCGCAATAATCTATTTTACTACGCCAGACGTTACTACTTGCACTAACGTCAGCAGTTTTTTCCTGTCAATTTAGAATTTGACACAAAAATTAAAAATGTTACAATATTCTTTCGTTCATCTGGAGGAGAACGAAATCACTGTTGTTCGATTGATTCGTCATTTTGTAGTCGAAATATATCTTTGTAGTCAAAGATAAGGAAGTATCTAGATGCTTTTGAACGATACATGAATTCACGCGTGTCTACCTATCATGCAATTATTCCCCTTTACACATGCTTCCGATCATTAGTTGAAAACGACCAAGCGAACCGTTCCAATTAACGTTTCTTTCGGAATTATATTCGCGATCGCGGGAACATAAAAGCTCCGTGGGGGGGAAAGCTTCAAATAAACCGTGAAATGAATCGTTAAAAAATTAATCGCAATTTTTAACGATTATCATGCTGTTTCCCGTGTTGTTTCTACGTACATTTGATGCAAAGCCTAAAAAAAAAAAAGAAAAAAAAAGAACGTTCGATTCATGTTCAATTAGCGAAATGTCATCTGGCTTGTTTGCGACTAAGGTAGAAGCTTCCCATTGATCGCTGCTAAAATTACGATCACTGAACTATGTAAGGTACGAATGAATATTAATTCTGTCAAAGAGAGATGACCGAAGAAGCTGTAAAGCTGAGTTTGAAGGATCAATACAGAAAGGGATGTTTGCATTCTACGTCTTGCGACTACGTCTGCTAAAAAAGAAGGATAGTTAATAAACGAGTTAGAAAAAAAAAAAAAAAAAAAAGAAAAGAAAATGGAGGGAGAAGAAAACATCTAGGGCGCACCGTTGTCGATGGAGAATCGTCTAAAATACGACCGTGCGCTTTCAAAGTTTCAAACTTTTATATTATACACATTATAGACGTGTATGCCTCTGCACTGTGTAATTCCACTAGCAGCTCTGATCCCGGGCATCCGGGGTCACCATAGCAACGGGAGAGCTCCTACCCTGTATCCACCCCACTTTCAGAGCATTTGTCGATTAAAAACGACAGCGCGAGATCTGGAGATCTGCGTTTGTATACGCAAGTGAAAAGAGAGAAAGAGAGAAGGCGAGAAAGAGAGACGGAAAAAAGTGAAGAGAAAGAGAGACGCGACGCCTAGAGAGGCAATAGAGAGCGTGGTCGCATCGGTCGGTTCCCTAAACGGACCAACTACGATAAGTGGTATGTATATATACTCCAAGGTGCTATCTCTCAAAGGAGGAGTCGTCAACGGGGCAAAACAAGGAGGAGAATTTTTATTCTTTCTTTCTCTGTCTGAGCGAGTCTCGCACCTTGCCGTTGCATCTTTGGCAGCTGTTAGCACTGACACACCGCAACGTACGGTTAAGTCGCGATAAAGGGGGAGGTTTCGTTCGGGCCTGGGCTGTGTCAATCCCTTCGTCTCAAGGAGGATCTCTTTCCACGGCGTATCGACTGGCCTGCACCGATTATTGGAGAGGAAACTCGAGCGGCACTACAGTCAGCAGGTATGATTGGTGAACTTACTTTTCTCGCGGCTCTTACGTGCCTTCATTGACCGCAAACACCGGTCCGTTGCCGATTCACAAGCGTACGATCGCGATCGGCGATCTGGCTTCGCAACTGCGATTTCGTCGTCGCTTCGATCTAACGATCGATCTAACGATCTCTTCCGATATTCCCTTCTAACTTGATTACTCAACCTGAACTACTGAACAACAAAGATTTCCTTTCTTCTTTTCTCCCTTCTCTCTTTTTCTTCCTTTTTTTCCTTCGTTTCCCTTCTCTCGGCTCTCCACGATGTGGTCTCGTTCGTCTCCGTGATCGGCCGTTCGAATCCGATCGACGCGTGCACTTCTAATTCGCCGATCGATTCGCTCCACGACTGGCTAACCCGCGGACTCGGTCGCGGACCAACTGCGGACTCGGTAACGATGTGCGCGGACTCAGCCCGCGGACTCGGTAACGATGTGCGCGGGCCTCGCGCTGATGCACTGAAACTGCCACGCAAAAGCACGGGGTATATCTGCCTTCGCGCAAGTCCACATTCTTCTTCCCAACCATATTTATGTAAAAATCCGTATTTGAATGCCAGACTGATTTAAATCTCTTTCACTCGAAAGAAGACTTTATTTTTCATTATATGAAATACGGCATTCGTTTAGCGCGTACATGCAAAAATTTGCGATCAAAGGTTTCGTCTTAAAAAAAATCTACCCGTGCCAATTCTTTTCTTTCTTCAAGAGAGAAATAAGATAATCTAAAATATATAATTTTTTGTGCAATGAATTTAACCCATTTTCAATTTTCTAAACGACAATTTAATTATCGTATAAGAGGATTTTATAGAATAAAACTCGGAATAGAAGCCAAGTGAAAATATTCAACTTTGTTGTCAGATGAAAGAAGACCGAAGAAAAATCCATCTCTTCATTCTTCCATGATAAAGATTTTAAAAGAAATGTACAAGTTATAAGAATAGAAATATCTTCTTACGTATCTTAAGTAAGTGCATGTAAAAATGCATTTAGTTACGTTTAATCTGAATACAGTTTTTATATACTTCCGTATAGAACGAAATGCATTAGGAGCGTCTGACTATGAATCACTTTTCTACTGAGCGAAGATGTATGCGTCGAATATACTACTTACTTCCACCCTATCACGAGCACGTACTCTTTGCTTATGAGCTGAACTATGAAATGAATTTTTACACATTTACAGAAAACTTGAAAACGTAAAAATGCGCGTAAAAATGTATATAATAAAAGTATATAATCCAAGTAATCCTTGTAGCATTTAGTAAACAAAGGAAATTTCTATACAGATTCTGTTTTTATAATCGCGTTTGTAGAAATATAAATTTGTAATAAATATCTACGGTTTATTTACAACAAATGTAATAATATCATACGTTACTCGGGAAATATTCGAAAAAAGAGAAAACGTTTAAATGCATCACGAGCTTTAGTACTATAAATATGCTACGGAATAGGGAAAGGTCCTATTACGGTTGAAACCGAGCCAAAAACATCATTGTAAATGCAGAACAATTTCTCGGTCTATGCCGATCGCCGATAAACACAGCTGGGAAACTATGTCAAACATTGTCAGTGAGCATGCAAATTGAAGATACTATAGATCCATGGAAATTTAGGCAACTACCCCAACTAATGGAATTATTCACGTGAATAGCGAAATCTGCAGTGTTATCGATCGACAGGATAAGATCGTAAAATTATGATTTATAGATGGCAGGATAATAGCACTTCTTGTCATTAAAGGAATCGTTCTAGTGACAAAGAAGTACGTAATTGTTAACGTTTGGATAAATGAAGGAGAATATAATACATAGCTATTTGTTTTACTTTCTTCCCTTTATGATTTTTTTCATACTGGAATACATAAAGTTTTTGATAGATTTTGGAAAAATAATTTAACAACAAATAGAAGTGTATTAAAGTGAAAAATTATTTTGAAACCTTTTGCGATCAAGACGAGAATGATCTTTGAAACAAAGCTGACTTGATAACGATAAATAACTTTCATATGAATCTGACTTTCGGTTAAATAAATTTTTGAATTAAATAGAACCGCGTAATTCGGTTAGCAGACGAATTTTTCTATCGGCCATATCAGAAATGTATGAGTACTGAGGGAAAGATTCGGCCGGGTGGCTTTACATTTAAAAATGAACGGCAACGATATTTCGAGTTTATCGTACAAGGAATTACAAGCCCTAGCCCTTCGATACCGAGTACCAGGTAACATAAAGGTAACTGATTTATCGTTAAAAGTTTTAACGAGAAACTTTACATACTTGTTCCTACTACCTTAATTCTTTTTCCTGAAACGACAAGTAAATTGATTTTTGAACGATCGATTACGATTTCTGACCGTAGAAGAAATTACTGGTTAAAGTGTTGCAAGCCGCGAAAGGCGGAAATGAAAATGAAGTTGGCAGGCTATTGCAAGATCTTAAGCAGAATCGTAAGAGGAAAGTGAGAAAAGTCAAAGTCGGAAAACTCGCGTTAACCTCCACACCATTACATAGTCCTGATTACGCTATGGCCGATGATTATTACTGCCCGCAGCAGCAACCACCTTATCAGTGGGTGAGTTGATTTTCATTCATAGTTTCTTTACTTTAATGCACATCCAAACTTAAAAAAGAAAAACTTCAAATATTGCATCGTGAAATCTCACATTCGTCTCAAAAATTGATCGATGACGCTTGAGACAGTACATTATATATCGAACATGAATAATTCTATAGATCGATCATCAATCAATTTTATTGAAAATTTTCTGTCTACAGTATTTTTGTACTGTTGATATACATTTTTAAAGATACTGTCAATAAAGAGAGGTACAGAATAGTTGAACATTTTTAAATAAAATATAATATAAAATGTGAAAATGTAATATTATGTTCTTAGGTGGGGGCAGAAGAAGAGATCACAAATAGAGATGATGACAACAGAATCCCTCATTATGAAGAGTTTAAACAGTTCTTAATAAAGAGAATACAGAGAGAATTTCAAACATATGATGCAAATAATAATCAGATACAGGATTCAACCATAGTGGACCTAAGAACAGCAACAATTTCATCTGATGTGCAAAAAAGTCCTTTGGATATTAGTAACTATAGTAAGTCTAATATAGTTCCTGTTAATAATGTAGATTCATCTGTATATCAACCAAATGACAATGTAGAATATCAAACATTAGAAGATAGCAATGTGCAAGGACCTATACTTCTTAAAAAAATGTTACAAGCACCAGTTGGTGCAAATTTGGGAGAAATAGCTAGTCCTGTACTTGGCAGATTTTTGTCAGTGGAACAATATCAGTCTAACAATTTGTTAGATAATTCTGATACTTTAACTGCTGAATCAGATAATCAAGATAATGAGGAAATTTTGGAAAATAATACAGAATGTTATGGTCTTCTGAGTGGTATAAAGGGAGAATATTTTTTAAATGAACCAACTTTTGTTAAAAATGTTGAAGAAATTGGTCAACAAATTTCAAATGTTTTAACAAATGAAAATGTCAATCAATATAAATATCCTAACACAAATATTGTCATGCATCAAGATTATGAAAATTGGACTATTACTAATGTTATGAATGCCTCAGATAACAACTGTCCAACATCAGATGTCCAATCATCAAAAATATTTCAGACTATGTATTATGATAATATAGGATCTGATACTATAAACAAACCTATAAATAATGAAAGTTTAACATGTCAGTATCGAATGGCAGACACTGTACATCAGTACAATTCCAATCAAAATTTATTAAATTTGGATACATTAGAAGATAATCAATATTGTGACGCAAACATTATTCCTCAGGTGCAATCTGACTGCAATAACACATATTATTTACAAAATTTAATTAAATGCAGTACAGAAACTACTGGAGAATATTTGCAGTATATGCATTCTTTCTCAAATGCAAATACAGATCAAGAAACATATGGATCTACTGCCCAAACATTTTCTAACAATAACTATAGCTCTAATCTATCACATGAATACTCTTGTTCACACAATAATCAAGGAACCATTCCATTATCTGAAAATGTGGGGCAACCTAAACAAAATTGTAACTCCATAGTGCAAACAGAATCCAATGTTTATAGGGATATGTCTAATATGTCAGAAAAATTACAAACAAGTGGTATGTACTATTATTTCTAAATCATATATTAAACGCAAAAAAATATATATTTTAATATTTTTCATATTTTTAGAAATACTGGATCCATTTTGGCCAAAAAAAAACCCCAAAGTGCCTTCAGATTCTTTTTTAGAAAATATTTTGAATTTCATTAATACTAAACGTATAGATTTGTCAAAATTAGATCAGACATCTTGTGTATATTGTTACATAGCCCCTATTGTTACACATACACCGGTCTCATCAAGTGTAACTTGCTCCCAAAAAAAGAAATTTGTTGCAGAATATAGGCAACATTCCTTTTCTCCGTGTTGGTTACTCTACAATGATACTTCGTCCGGAATGCGAATGGCTAATTTACAAACTAAAATTAGGGAAACTATAGATGAATCCCGGATACTATACACACCGATGTCAAATAGTAATTCTGATATAAGAGAATCAGTTGCGGATGACGCGAAAAGTGAAATTGTGGAAAGTGAAGATTCGATTTCCGAAGTTTGGCCGAATAATTACTCAAATTACGAAATGACAACCGAAAAGGATGTAAATATATGTGAAGATTTAAAGATTGAAGTTTCAGATTGTTTATTTTCAGTGATAAATACTGAACCATTGGATAGTCAAACAGATGATTCTTCTAAAAATTGAAGTCGATAAAAGAAAATTTGTATTCTTAATAGCGCATAAAATTGTATCATTATCAAAAAAAGAAAAGAGATAAGAAAGATATTGATATTATGTAATTTATAAAAAAAAGTAATTACACATTATGAAAAAAGATAATTACACATTATTTATATATTTAAGAATATAATCAAAAGTCTAACATGATCAATAAGAGATTATCTTGTTTAATCTTGTAAAAAAAAAGATTCATTATGTTATAACGATCATGTAAAACTATTTTTTCGCTTAAATGAAAGTGTTAATATAATGTTAATATTAATGTTAATTATTAAAAAAAATATATTGTTATTAAAAGTCCGAAAAAAAGTAGGATTCTGATTTTCTTAAGTTGGTATTTATAAGAATACAATTCCGGCAAAAAAAAAGGATATCTAGCATATATAGAAAAACATGCAATTTTTTTTTATGAAACGAGGATAAATAAACAAAGACGAAAGACATTAATAATCATAAAAAGATTACTTCAAAAAATTCATTAGAAATAAAAGAGAACAAAATTAAAAGTTTTTCTTTCGTTAATTTTCTTTATCCTCGATAAATATGTATATCATTATATATTTTATTAAAAAATAAATAACAAGCATCACAAATTTAAATGTCTAATAATACATTTGCTTAAAACCTTGCACTAATGTATAAAGAGAAAATAATTCATTATAAATTTTCTAATTTTCATAATGTAATGTTTATTAAATAATAAGAAGTCGTTTTTGATACGTGATCATTACTATGATTTATTTTCTTCAACAAAATTGTAATCAATTTCACTTACTTGAAATTCCTTCTGTTTGCATTTGTGTTTTCAAATAATTGAAGACCTTAACGGGTATAGATTCTTTTCTTCGATTTCTATATATTCCCATTTCAGTATCCACATTTTTTGAAGTTCCCTGTCTATCGGAAGATCTACCCGGTGTCATATGAACACTATACATTTCTTCTATATTTTGGTTTATCAATTTAATTCTATTAAATGTTTTTCCCTTCCTTTTTAAATAATTGCGAAAAATACTTATTTCGCACTTCCTCGGTAAAAGGTTGTTACGTTTTCTTTATTGTTCTTACTTAAATAATCAATATTTTATTTAAAATTTATTAAGAAGTGTAAACGGATGAATTCGAAATACGAAATGAAGACAGTACTTGCTAGACCAAGATCTCTGATACTACTGCTTTTAAAAAAAAAGCAATACCGCTATGTAGGTAAGTGCTGTGGCGCATACGCTCTGTATCTAATGAGGTCCTCAAAAAACGAGACTAATTATTTCACCGCATCTTTCATTTTATATATATACATACATGTAAACAATACAATTTTAATAATACATATACATAAACAATACAATTTTAATAATACTTCCAAATGTCAATTTTATAAGATAGTCCGAAAAAATTCAATGAAAATACTTATAATATACTTATGCAATAATATAGTGATAAAACTTTTCTTCACGCACGCGAAGAAAATAATTATTTTAAATTCTGACAGTAAAAATTAAAATATCATTTTCACTCAATAAACTTATCTTATTCAATAAATTACTTGACATTATATAATAAGTTTTTTAGCTATTTTCAATAAGTTATAATATGTACACGTATGTAATGTAAATCTAATAATTAAATCAAATTGAAATTAATATCCTACATGATATTCCATGGGTATCGCTTGATACAGAAACGACATCTAGATAATAAAGAGTTGAAAATAAATTTCTTCACAATAACATACTCCTAACCTAATTCGATTACTGTATTAGGTAGATAAAAATGTAAAAATACGTTGATTTTTTAATAATACAAAATAAAGCTACATTATTAATTGCAGTAAAATATAAAACAATTATATGTATCGTAATAAAAACTTAAATACATATTTTACAGTGTAATATAATCTTAAGTTTCTGTTAGAAAAAGTTACATTAATATAATAGAAAATTAATTTAAAATAATGACACGACTGTCAGTACTTAGTGTTAATGTATTAACAGTACGAAACTTAAATGCTTATGATCATATAATATCCAATGGACCTTATATTCAATGTGTAAGATGGAAAAGAAAACCAATTTGGTTATCACCAGCAAAATCTAAGCTATTTAGAGTACCAGAAAGAAAAGTTATACCTATAGAAGAAAGTATTGAACTTAAACGTTTACATAACAATTACAGAACGTACATGAAGTCTTTAATGTATGTAAGATTTTTAATATTATTTATGATAATTATTTTTGATAATGTATCAAGTAGATATGTATGAAATATATTTTTGTCTCAGGACTTTCTTCATTGAAACAGAAAAAGAAAAAGAGCTTTGTTTCGATAAACTTGTTGTAGAAAAAAATGCACAAAAAGATTTTGAAATATGTAGCCAAATAAATGATAAATGGAACACAAAAGTAGCTATGATGCGAGAAAAAAGATTAATTCAGGAAAGAGAAGATCGTCAGAAGGAAATTCTTGACAAAGTACAAGCGAAAAAGGAAAGAGATTCGAAATTGTTAGAAAAAATAGATGAAGAAATCAGAAAAGCAAAAGAAGAAGCTAAAACATTTATTACGTCTGAAAATATAGATAAAGCTATTGTAGATGCATTGGAAAATATTACAGAACATAATGTTGCAATTGATCTCAAAGATAATTTTATAAAAAAAATCTAGAGTTAAATCATCTAACAAAGATGTTATATAATAAATTTCTTGTACTATAATAAATAAATAGTGATCTTTGATAGCTATGTTTGTATATTTACTTTCCTCTTTATATTGAATTCAATACATTTTTATCTAATTCACAGAATATGTTTATTGAAAATGATCATGTATAATGTAATGTATTTATAATATACAATAACAAAAACCTTGTAAACACATTCATTCAAGTTTTATAAGCATATGAGCTTTACAATATGATAGACATTGTATTAATTGTCTCTAATCTTATAGTCTGTTTATCCATATTATCGCAACTTATATTTTTCACAAATTTTTGTTAACAATCTAATAATGTATTATCGTCACACAGTTTTACACAAAAATGTTTTATGATTAAAAATGATTATATACTTTTTCTGTATCGACGATAATCACAGATATTAATTTGTAATTTGTATGATTTTATAATATTTACTGAAATATTGTAACTCCAACTTCAGAAAATTCTATACCTGAATGATATTGTGTTTCAACATATGGTTTAAAATGTTTATATGCATTTCTATTTGCATTATGTATTGCGACGTATTTGTTAAGAATAATTACTTTTATATTTCATATATATATTTGTAACATATCATGATATCGTGTCATCGAAATATCTTTGGTTTAAATATACACAATTTGTTTAAAACACAAACAATGACAATTAGATCGCTGCTTTACAATCAAATTCCAACTATTTCAAAATGTATGACTAACATGCATGTTATGAAAATGATTCGCATTTAACTGTAAAACTTAGTAAAAAAAGTGTATGAAACTATTATTTTACAATTTTTTTATGATATCAATTATAAATGTATAATTCTATATTTATTGTACGTGCTTATGTTTATGCTCCTAAAGTTTAAGAACAAGTCTTTAAGTTTCGAAAACTATAATTAATAACGAAGCCTTGTATTAAAAGCCAAAAGAAATTATCAATAATCGAACAAACGTAACAAATCTTTTCATTAAATTATTATTTATAAAACGTTAAATTAAATAGTAAAATTAAATATAAAATAGTAGATGTAATATAAATATAGGCTTCGTCATTGAAGTAAATTAAGATTTTTAAATAGCAAGGTATACTAAATATATTACCCTGATAAAATTGAAAGAAAAATCAGTAGTAATTATAGTTATTACATTATCATTATCATTTTTCAATCATGAACATAAATTACATAGGCATTTTATTTATTTTTACAACTATCAGCTATGGTATCTTTGACATGAAACAGGGCTATTGCACTTTGATACCACTTTTAATATATGTAAGAAACTATTGTTTGGAGGCATTGTTAAAACATCATATGAACACGATTATAGAATATTCCTTGTTATAAAGTTTCTAAGTTTTAGATTGTATCCCATACATCAATTTTTTTCTTATTTCATATTCTATTTCAGAATACTATAGTTTCAAACGCATCAATTTTTACAATCCATCTCACATTCTTATATAGATTTAATTTAGCTTAATTTAGATGTATAAATTTTTATTCTGGATCTTGTAAAATCTATTGGTATAGGACGTACTGAAGCACCACAATTTAAAGATGTGTTGCATTCTCATTTTACGAATATGGTAAAAATATAAGATTTATAAAAATTTTTAATCCTGTTTGTTATTTTATGTATGGTGTATATGAAAATGATGGCACATGTTTTTCTAAAGCGAACTTGGCGTTAAGTATGTTTAAACATGAGTTTTCCATTTTATTTGAGCTCCATACCTTTGATTTAGGAAAAAAAGAATGATACAATTTATGTTTCGTGTATTTTATCGCTAAAATACAGACTTTGTAAAAATTTAGTCACTAATATTACTTTTCTCTTCGATCATCATTAACAAATGCACATCTTTTTGTTATTTCTACTATACATTTTCCCCTTTTATCTCTTTTTGTTTCTTTCTTTATGCTTTTTAATGATGTTAGAGATTCTCTTTTCAACCTTGTTCTTATTATAAAAGGTAACATGTAATTTCACATAATATGAATAACACATCTCGCAATAACTCAATACTTGCTTAATCAAGAATGATCCATTCTTTACTTGCAATGCAATGCGCATACATGTGCCTATATGTACAAAATTCTATTCGTTTATATATCAATGAGAATGATCTTGATTAAGTATAACATAAAAAATACATATATGGATGATAACGTGAACACAACAGCTAAATAATCTCTATTCAATTACAACAAGAAGCAAAAATTCAGAATACTATAGTGTGCACCAATTAATAAAAACAAGCAGTAAATTTTTCTCTTTATCTAGATTAAAGGAAGAAAAGATAAAATGTCGATATGTGTATATATGCACTTATATACATATACATATACATATATATATATATATATACACATGCATACACACACATGCACATATATATATATGGATAGGTATAAAATTTGGTCAACGTTTTCTCTGTATGGTAATATTATCAAATATAGCATCTTATATATAGCATATATATATAAGAATATTTTGTACGAATATAGAATAATAAAATGGTTGGTAAACAGTAAGTATAATTATTCAACAAGTACTACATGGTAATAGTAGTAACATTGGTGGCTGATTAGAAGAATTAGCTCGTACCACGTTTTAAATATTTTCATCTTGTCTCACCACCAACAACTATACTAATAATTATAATAATACTAACTATCGCATTAATTTATATTCTTACAGGAAAAATAATAATAAAAAAGAGGAGACACAAAACGTCATTACAAATCAAACACTGCAGCTATTTACGTAGTGATACTTTTTGGCTATAAAGTATAAAATAAATGACAATATAGAAGGTTATTCTATCAACATAGTATCAAACTACTGTCAGTACAACCGATATAGATATAGTAAAAATATCCTTTCCTAATGCAATGTTCTCAATATTTAATTGCTCCCATTAATATTTCATTATGCAAACAGTTTTCATTAAATTTCTTTCTGGTTACATACTATATTTTCTTTGACACTATAGATTTATAGAATGGCTTATATAATATTTATCGCAGTATTTCTATATACTAAAGCTATTATCCGACAGTACTTTGAAATATATTGTATTCTTAGAAAACCTTCCTACTGTGCATATAACCCATTAATGTTATATTTGACATAAACAATTTAAAATTTATCATCATTATTTAAGTAAGATATATGTCGGTTATGCTATTTTACAAATCTCAGAAAACGAGATTATGACTATTAATGTTTCCGAAAGTATCGCGCAATTTTTATCCATGCATTTTACTGAGCGCACCAGGCCATGCCATAGAAAATGTATTTATCCCCTTAAATAAGATAATGACTGCCTATTAAAATAGAAATCTCTCATTTTACCTTCACTTCAAGTAGATGCATTTATATTTTCTTTAAAAAATAATTTTTCATAATGAAAAATAAGATTTCTTTTGCAAAACGTTTGTACGTTAACAGTAATGCAAGGCCGTGGCATATATTTTATTCTACACGAAAAATTATGTGTGTAAAATATATAAAAAATTTCAATAAAAATCTCAAACATTTTTTTCTGGATTTAAAGCGCATACTATTTTATTTGAACCAATATTTTGCTGATTTTGTTTCAAAATTTTTAACAATACTACACAGTATTGTACAAGTGTGTATTTTATACATTCTGCACACCTAATGCAGAGTCTGTAATAATGTGATGTCTTTTCTGTAACATATGTATTATCCAGAATTAAATAAAATTATTCAATTCCCCGTGGACCATCTATTGGCATAGTATGCAAAACTTCATCCAACAACTGAAGAGCTCGATGTAAGTGTACCTATATTAAATATACAATTTTATATTTTTTTAATTTTTAAAATAATTTACGATTGATGTGAAAATCTAGAATTTATGTATACCTCTATCCAGCATGGAGTTTCTTTTATACTTTGTCGAGGATAATCAGGGCCCCAACCTTTCACAAAACTTAAACGCAAAATGCAAAGTCGTCGAAGATCATCTACACCTATTCCTGCTGCTGCACTAAGACCTATATTACATTGTAAAGTTTATTATTAATTAAAAATTGTATTTATGAAACATAATTTATACAAATTAATATCATATTATTATATTAACTTTTAGTAATTGGCGCTCCATGCGTTAGGTGTCCTGCTACAGCGGCAGCTTGCGCCGCAGCGGCAGCTTGTGCAGTAGCAGCTTGTCCTCTCATTTGTTTATGGCATTGCCGCAAATCAAAGACCTTAATATATGCAGAAGGATAAATTTTATGCACGGCATCACCGGGTGCACGACCCGCTTCCCTGTCTAGATAATAAGACTGTACAAAGACACTATGTTCACTTTGGCATCTTAACCAAACATCTCCTTCGCCTCTTAAATCTAATACAACTCCTTTTCCTAAAAAATTCATGACATTATAATTATGTTCATTAATTACCTAAAAATAAAAAAAGGAGTAATTTATTAACCTATATGAAGACGAGCTTTTTCACTTTGTTCTGTTCTGTGTACATTACTCAGAGCTCCTAAACAAAATCTATTACCACCGCTTGGATCCACATAACCATCTACTGTTACGGTAGGACAACCGCTGCTTACTTTAAATGTTTCGCCAACTTGAGTATCTAATTCAAAGTAGCCAACCGAACACCAGTATTCTGGTGCTGGCTGTGTAGATAGTAAACCACCAATGTTTCCACCTACTTCACCTGCGTGGCTGCCCCCTAATAAAGATATCAATTATAGTTGTTGTTAGAATAATATAATATACTGTTTATCAATAACTCACAATAGGAAGTAGGATGAAGATGTCTATGATCTGGAGGCTGCATGCTTTGAGTATATGTAAGAGTATTGGGTCCAGTCCATTGTGGTGCTCCTGAATTATAAGCAGCTGTACCCACTGGAAATCCATTTGGATGATGAAGATGTACAGGCGATACAGGAGAATTTTGACCTTCGCCTGTTAAAAGAAAGAAATTGAGATTCAATAGGATAATAGGATAATAAACTGAGATAACATACCTAAAGATGCTGCTAATGCATCAACAGTAGGTGGTTGATTGAGATCTTGAGGAGGTGTATTTGTTCCATAAAATGTTTCACTAGACTGTCCTTGTGAAGGACTCAGCATCTGTGCCCCATTGCCTCCACTAGATGTACTCAATGACTGCTGTTGGCTACCTACGGTGTGACTCATTGGATGTACTACTGCTGCAAAATTAAATGTAACTCGTACACAATGCAGGCAACATAATATAAAATAACAATTAACTCAAATGGCCAGAATTTCTGAAATTAATTATCATATAAGATAACTACAAATTTTTATGAAATTAGCACAAAGCAACAAAAATTAACTGGCAAATAGACAGAAAATAGAATGTAAGAAAGCATTCTATTATATACGTACGATGATGAATGTTACGTGTTGTAGGATGATGAGGTGTAGGAATCCAGGTTTGTCTGGGGCAATTATTGTCATCCAATTTACCGTGCGGATTACCACCATTATTCCCTCCCCCATTACTGCCAAACACACCCTCACCACTAGCTGTGCCAAACAATAAAAGGAAAAAGAAAGAATAAAGCTAAAATGAAATCAAACTAGCAATGCAAAATAATTCTGAATAAAGCAATATTAATAAAAAGTTTGCAGACAAACAAAATAAAATCTCTTACAATACTGTAATAACAAAGCTTTTTTTATTTATGTATTTTTAGTGCACTGCCTTATATTATAAGATTTTAATAATAACATAAACATGCTTTTGTTTAAATAAATCAACATACTCCATATTCAAAAACACATATATCAACTAAATTGTAAATATATTTTGACATACTCAAAAATATGATTATTTCATCAAAGAATATCATAAACATATACATTTTTAACATATGGTAATCATTAAAAGACAGTATTTTTATATTAAACATGTATTTTTATATTAAACATGTATGTTTTTCAAAAAATAAAGAAAATATTTTACTCACTTGAATTAGGCGGTGGTAGACCTGGTATAAAAGTCTGTTGAGATGATTGAGCGTTATTAGACGAAGTGGGTTGAGCAGGTGGATGATGCTGAATAGTTTGATTCATTTCTCCATCAACATCCATTGCAGATCCTACTGTTCCAGCTGCTGCACTCCCTCCACCACCAACCGAATATTCATCTTTGACTAATCTACCACCTGGTCCTACGCCTACTCCCGATTGCAGAGTCAGTCCAGATAGGTCTGTAAAGAACGGGTCTGTGCGGGGAAACCAACCCATTCCATCATACACCAAGGCCACAACAATAAATCATTTACACTTATGGTGCTACAAATGAATTCACAGAAGCTTTGCAAAGAAACAATGTAATGAAAAAAAAAATTGATCGAAGCACGTGATCTTTCTATGAAAACAAGTAAAAAATATGTTTCATGACATACCTATGCCAGGGGATACAACTCTCTCATAGTGATATGGATTCACACATACAGAATCACATTTTAAGTCAAAAGCAAATTGGCAGTACTTGACATGTTTCAATTCATTCTTGTGTAAATCTGGCCATCTCCAAATTCGTGCATAAATAACATGTGGAAATCCTTTGCGACCAGCAACTTGTAGCCTACCATCCAGAGTTCTCTGTATTGTAACGCATTTACTGGGATGAGCTCCATTTGTAGTAATAGCGGTTATTAAGCTATCTAATTCATCTCTTTTTTCCTAAGAAATATAAACTATATTATAAATACTGATCAAATTCTTGACATATAATTAAAGAAAAATATATACTTTAAGTTTTTTAACCAAAGACTCGATGGCTCTTTTACTAAATCCTTCGCTTTCACCACCTTGGCGGTGACACATGAGAGAATGTACTATACTTAAACAGGCATCAGCACTAGTCGGTGCACTAGGAGCGATTCCAGTCATTTCTCTCACTGTATAAAAATATTTACATCAATACAATAATAAAAATGAATATTAGCTATATTGAAGGAATATGAAAACGTAAGATATTTATAAATAATTATATACATATTGTTAGTATTTACATTCTGGATTAGGTTGCATTGGGGGCGAGGGATACAGATGACCTCCCCCGCCCGCCAATCCAACCATGTCTGTGAAAGCCGTGGCGAATACCGTTCAAATTCTTCGAATTGAGACACTATTCTTATCCTCAGTTTCGACGTGTTCAAATTTTTATAATTTACCATCTAGTAACGATCTACTAGCCATGTGTCATAGATGTAGATTTGCTGAAAGTAGAAAGCAGTTAAACAAGCTGAACGTAATCGGTTATAAAATATTAAGAGGCAGAAAACAAACCTTTATCAGCTAACGAACTAACAGAAATCAGGAATATACGAAATAACCTTAGTAGAATCGCTTTACGATGACGTACCGTGAACTGACAGTTACTTCGGTAGGACGCTGTTAGTTTTTTTCGGAGGTTAGATTGAATTGTTGCGACATCAGTAGAACCTGGCAGAACCGCACTTATCTCTAGTATCTAAATTCACAATTAGCGAAGCGACTAAAGCGCCAAACTATACGCGCAAGTTTTCAACGTTTGCATCCAGTCTCATTTATCCCTCTTTTCCTTGCAAGATGTACTAAATATTCCTATATATAAACTATTGTTCAAGTTTGATCTAAGTTGATTTTTACTTACTATCTCAAATAGGTATATATATAGAGTAAAATAGTCACAAGTATAACTATATTTTGCACACAGGTTGCAAATAGGTGACCCCCATAAAGGGATGAATAAGATCGAATTATTTGTATCCTTTCTTTTTCTGTTTTAACCTATTATGATCAATTTAGTAGTACTCTAGTAGTACTCTAAGTAGTACTCTAAACTAGGTACATCATAAATGAAAGTTTCAATTGATACAAATATTAATGAAATATTTATTTATTGACATTTATTTTTATAAATATATACATTGAGAAGTATATCTTTAATTATATGTAGAAGGAACAATATACAAAATGAACATGTTTTATTTATTATATCCGGATCAACACAGGATAAGTATAAAAATGTTACTTTGTTAAAATGATATTTTATATCTCAAATTTTCATAATAATAGAAGAAAACATTAAGAGTTACAAAAATAACATGTATGATCTTTTGATGATAAATATTAGAATTAATAAAATTTATTATTTAAATAATAAAGTTGTAGGTTTTAAATTATGTAAAAGATAGAGTTTGCAACAGGGGGTGTAACTCAGTGGTAGAGTGTCTGCTTCGCATGCTGAAAGTCCTGGGTTCAAATCCCAGCTCCTCCAAACCAATTTTTTTTTCTTTTCTAACATCGAAGTTTCATTTATGTTGAATACATTCTTTGTACGTAATTTTTTTAAAATTATTTTAATATATTTACATAAAACAATTACAAATATGGAATAGAATATTTATTCATTATTATTACATTAGTATATGCAAATTATAATTTTTGAAGTATATACATTGTACATTTAAATGACATCTGTAAAATTTCACTTCAAACAGGTTTTATTTCAATGCACGATTTGAAAGATAGATGTGAGTCCGGACCCATTGATAAGCACTTGAGCAGCAGGAGATATGGTAATTTTTAACCCAACCTAGTCACTCCTGCGGCACTAGTACTTATGAACAAGACAGGATTAACTTCTGATGTACCGTAGTCCTTCCGTTGTTATGATAGCCATGCAATCTTCTTGATGACGCGATGGTGACATATCCCTATAAATTATTATAATCACTTACTTTTTAAATTTCAAATTATTTAAATATTTGACTTAAACCTTAATTTAAATTTTTCATTAGATGAGCAAAATTAAATTCATTGATTACTAGACAATAAAACAGGCCAAAGGAGAGATCTTAATATAAAGTGCCCACGTTTCGTTATAATTTAGCGCGAGATTAGATAATCGGCAGAAGAATACGGTAGCTCATAGATATTGCATGACACATTCACTGCATGCACACTGCAATCATTTTATGAAAGGGATAGAAGTCTTAAGTTAATTGAGTTAGTCTGTTTATGAAATACATCTTACAAACATTCTTGCTTGTAACATTTTTCTACATAATCATTGAATCTTTTTCCCCCTTTATAAATATCTGATTTATTATGGTTATATTTACTTAATGTTATATTAGTCAAAAATTTTAATTAAAAGAAGAAACAAAGGAAAATTTCATCTCATGAAACTGATACTGATACTGATAAAATCATTACAAAACGGTGCGGATAATAAAAGATATACGTTATAATTATTAGCCCGGACGTGGTACCGTACACTGTACACTATATATCGTACACACTATAATGATGCAATGACACACAGTAGTACTCATTGAAGCGACCTCGAGTAGTCATTTAAAGTCGCCCACTATCTCAGCCTGTTCTTTCTTCCTCTGTTCGTCTCCGAAAAAATTTCAAGCTTCATTCTTTCGTCCCAGACTGAAACCTGTTGCTTTTGTTTTGAAAATTTGTATGCTTTGTATGCATTATATCCATGTGTATCAAAAATGCTTCCGAAGATATCCTGGAACCGCATTATATTGACAATTTCAATTAGCATGTTCTTGTTGCGATTGAAACACCGTAGTATTAAATTAGATTTTACCAATTTTTTTCTTTCCAGATAAATCGTACTGCAAAATAGGAAGATAGACACCATCATTTTGGTCCTTAAAATGAAATGCACAATAAACTTCTATTTCGGTCTGTGAAAAAAATCGAGAATGAAATCGGAACAAAACGGAGCAAAGGAACGAAAGATTGGAAGTAATATATCGCGTACGGAAATGTATGCACGCACGATAGAGAGGGAGAGTCTACAATCGAATCTTTGATTTCTTTGCCCCGCGACCCAACTTAACGCTTCTCGTTTCATCAAACACCGTATTCATCGTTCGCCTCCATGGTATGACTCGAAGTTGGTGAACAATCTTTTCCATGGAACTGCCCCGGAACCTCAAACAAACATTCATGTACTATCGGAACTTAGAAAAACAATTCGAACAATGATCCGTTTTTCTTTCGCTCGTCTCATACTTGAAAAGTAAGATGAAAAGAACATAGCACGAGGTTTGTTTCAAACTGTTTGCGTTAAAAATGCAAAGTCGTCATAAGCCAAAGAGGATTACTTCGATGTTGCGACTCAGTTGCAGATTCAGCTGGACGCGTGGCCGTCTTCTGCTACCGCATGTTGCACATACAACGTTCGTGCGTACTTTCAGTGAATTGTTTTTTCGATATTCGTCGACCCAGATGCGCCCAAATGAGAGAGTATACACTACAAAAAAAAAAAAAA